GAATGAGGGCAAGAGCATTCCAGCAGAGGGAACAATTAGTGCAAAGATTTTAAAGTGGCAGTGACTTAGAACTGAATGAAGCTTGCTTGGAGTATAATTAGTGGGCAAGGAAAGGGGTGATACAGTTGAAATAAGAGAGATGAGCAGAGGCTAGCTCATTTAAGACTTCAGAAGCTAATGTCTGAAGTTAGATTTTTATCTTAATTATGAGAGGAAGCCACTGAAGGGCAGGAGAGTGAAATGATCTTTTATTTTGGCTGCGTTGTGGAGGGTGGATTTTAGGGGGACAAGAGTAGCAGCAGGGAAGCCAGCCATTAATCTATTGTGGCAACTTACCAGAAATCTGTCTTACTATAAGAGAGAGGTGGTGATGGAGGTGGTACAAATAGATGTTTATATATATATATTGGAGGTAGAGTCTGTAAGATTTGCCGGTGGATTGGATGTGGATTCGATGTGGTGGAGTGAAGGAGAAAGAACAATTAGGAAGCCCATATTTTTGTCATGAGCTGCTAAGAAAATAAATGGTAGGTTCATTTACTGAAATAAAGAAGACTGTGAATTGAATAAATTTGGGAAAGGAATTCAAGAGTTCTGTTTTGGAAATATATATTAACCAGATGGAAATGTCAACTGGGCAGCTTGCTAGACAACTGGATATTTCACAGGGTATTAGCACTGGAAATTACAATTTTGAGAATCATAAACACATATGTAATATTTTTAGTATTGGGATTAAATTAGGTCATTTAGAATAAGAGCATATATCAAAGAAATTAGCCCAGGACAGAGCCTTGGGACACCCAAACGTTTAGTGGGAGCAGAGAAGGAGATTTGAGGAGTGGTCTCAGTCTAGTAAGAAAAAAAGCTTTAAAAAGAGAGTGTTGTGCAAGCCAAGAAAAGGAAGTGTTTTAAGGAGAGTGTAATCAAGCCTGTCAAATATACTACTAAGAGATACAAACAAAGAAATGACAGTTGGATTTGGTGGCATGAATGTCCTTTGTAGCTTGTCCCTGGAGTGCTGGGGTCATAAGCATGATTAGATTGTATTGAGGAGAGAGAGAGAGAGAAAGATGGGATCCAGGGCACAAGTCAAGTAGTTAGCCTTTAATAGGAATAAAGGTATTTTAAAAAAATTACAAGAAGGCTAGTCTAGATATGGATGTTGATCAGTTGTTTAGGTGAGAAGATGCTTGGATTGCTATATAATTGCTTCTATTTTCTTAGTTAAGGGAGATAAGGTCTTCACATGGTTAGGGGACAGTTTTAGAGATTTTGATGTGGGGGGGAAATACCATTCTAAGGTGTTTTTAGGAAGTATCAGTTTCATTAAAATCAGTGGCCATGAATATGATTCCCAAGTGAGATAGATACATGTAATTTTATTATTTTTTCCCATTGATTTTTTTTTACTTTATTTTTTTATTTATCTTTATTATTGAAAGTATTACAAATGTCCATCCGTCTGTCTCCCCCCTGTCCCCCCACACCCATTGACACACTGCAGCCTGCACCAGCCCCTCCAGGCCTTCACTACACTATTGTCTGTGTCCATGGGCTATGCATATAAGTTCCCCAGTTAATCTTTCCCCTCTCTGCCCCTAAGCCCCACCTTCCTCTGAGATTTGTCAGTCTGTTCCATGCTTCTATGTCTCTGGATCTATTTTGTTCATTAGTTTATTTTGTTCATTAGATTCCACAAATGAGTGAGATCATACGATACTGATCTTTCTCTGACTGGCTTATTTCACTGAGCATAATACTCTCCAGGTTCCTCCAGGTTGTCTCAAAGGGTGTAAGAGATCCTTCTTTTTTTACAACTGCATAGTTTTCCGTGCTGTAAATGTACCACAGCTTTTTTATCCACTCATCTACGGATGGCCACTTGGGCTGTTTCTAGATCTTAGCTATTGTAAATTAATGCTCCTGTGAGAATTAATACATTCTTTCTGATTGGTGTTTCTGGTTTCTTAGCAGTGGGATCACTGGGACAAATGGCAGTTCCATTTTTAATATTTTGAGACAATTCCCTACTGTTTTCCATAGTGGCTGTCCCAGTCTGCATTCCCTCCAGCAGTGCACACGAGGGTTCCCTTCTCTCTACATCCTTGCCAGCACTTGTCATTTGTTAATTGTTGATGATGGCCATTCTAACAGGTGTGACATGATACCTTATTAGCATTTTAATTTGCGTCTCATGATTAGTGACTTTGATAATTAGTGATGTTTTTCATATGTCTCTTGGCCATCTGTGTGTCCACTTTGGAAGGGTGTCTACTTACGTCCTTTACCCATTTTTTAATTGGATTGTTTGTCTTTTGTAAAGTTTTATGATTTCTTTATATATTTTGGAAATTAACCCCTTATCAGATGTATCATTGGCAAATGTTTTCCAATGCAGTGGGTTCCTTTTTCATTTTTTTGATGGTTTCTTTTAGCTATTTTCTAGAGAATGCATGTAAGTTACTACTGCTTTCTTGGACTTCATGCCAAATTTTATTACTTAAAGAATTGTTGTTATTAAGTAGCACTAATTCTAAGTTTTATGAGCTCTTTGAAGATAGGGGTTACTCGTTATTCTTTTTCTGAATCTCCAAAACCTGTAATATTGCACATAACAAGCACTCAACATGCTAGTTGAATAGAATTTAAACATACCCTGTTACTCATGTGACTTCCTTTAATTTTCAGAACATTTTTTTCAACTTAAAGCCCTATCTAAAAGTAAATACAGTGGGGAAAATGGCTTTATGTTTAACTAGACAAGACTGCTACCTACTAAATTGGAACCTGAAGCTTAAGAGTAATCAAATGTTGAATGCATATGAGACAAAAGGAGCTTTTTTAAAAAAAAAAATTGTG